CCCCTCTAGTGATAGGATCTATATAGAGGAATCAGGACCTCCTTCCTCCTCCTGGTGACCCCTCTAGTGATATATAGATCTATATAGAGGAATCAGGACCTCCTTCCTCCTGCCGGTGACCCCTCTAGTGATATAAAGATCTATATGGAGGAATCGGGACCTCCTTCCTCCTGCCGGTGACCCCTCTAGTGATATACAGATCTATATAGAGGAATCAGGACCTCCTCCTCCTGCCGGTGACCCCTCTAGTGATGGGATCTATATAGAGGAATCAGGACCTCCTTCCTCCTGCCGGTGACCCCTCTAGTGATAGGATCTATATAGAGGAATCAGGACCTCCTTCCTCCTGCCGGTGACCCCTCTAGTGATATAAAGATCTATGTAGAGGAATCAGGACCTCCTTCCTCCTCCTGGTGACCCCTCTAGTGATATATAGATCTATATAGAGGAATCAGGACCTCCTTCCTCCCGCCGGTGACCCCTCTAGTGATATAAAGATCTTCTGTATATAGAGGAATCTGCTTTTACAATCCCACAGCCCATTGCATGGTCTGGAAAGACCTATTGGACCTCCTTTATGAAAGCGTTCCCTCCAGAGTTTCCATGTCTCCTCCTGGCATGTGCCTAGTGACAGTGAGATAGCGAACACATCAAGGATATGAAAACAAAAACGTTGATATAAAAGCAATCTATTCGGGATACAAGCCTTCGGGACGGGAACAGATTTTAAAGCTTCTTGCGACCCGTCCAACACAAAGACGAGAGTCGTAGTTCCATGAAGAGGCCTTTTATCAGGAAGAAGCTTTGTGTTCCCTGTAATAATCCTACATTATGTGGAATTCTCTGCAGAGAGGAGCAGCGCGGCGGGATCAGAGGATCAGCAGGAATTGTAGCTTTGAGGTGTATACATTTTATATTTCATTCTGATGCATGGCCAAAATTCCTGTTCCCCCCCCCCCCCTACCGCCCCCCCCCCCCCCCCCCCCCACCGCCCTGCATTTCCATCAGACAACGCACCACTTTGCCCAGAGAATTGCTGCAATGACAAATGTTTCGGCATTCTCACGTGGATTTCTTTGGTTTGTATCGGTGCGACACGAAAAAGTGGAGAAACTGAAAGCCATATTTGTACTCCAAAAATGTACATTAAATGTATTTTTACAATTTTTTTTTCATATATTTTGTAACAAAAAAGCATTTCAACACATAGTGTGTGTATATGTATATATATACAGGGGGGCAAAAAAGTATTTAGTCCCCACCAATTGTACAAGTTCTCCCACTTACAAAGATGAGAGAGGCCTGTAATTGGCATCATAGGGAGACCTCAACTATGAGAGACAAAATGAGGAAACAAATCCAGACAATCTCATTGGCTGATCTGGAAAGAATTTATTTGCAAATTATGGTGGAAAATAAGTATTTGGTGAATATGAAAAGTTCATGTCAATACTTTGTTATATATCCTTTGTTGGCAATGACAGAGGTCAGACGTTTCCTGGAAGTCCTCACAAGGTTGGCACACACTGTTGCTGGTATGTTGGCCCATCCTCCATGCAGATCTCCTCCTCCATGCAGATCTCCTCTAGAGCAGTGATGTTTTGGGGCTGTCGGTGGGCAACACGGACTTTCAACTCCCTCCAAAGGTTTTCTATGGGGTTGAGATCTGGAGACTGGCTAGGCCACTCCAGGACCTTGAAATGCTTCTTACGAAGCCACTCCTTCATTGCCCGGACGGTATGTTTGGGATCATTGTCATGTTGGAAGACCCAGCCACGTTTCATCTTCAATGCCCTTGCTGATGGAAGGAGGTTTGCACTCAATATCTCACGATACATGGCCCCATTCATTCTGTCCTGTACATGGATCAGTCATCCTGGTCCCTTTGCGGAGAAACAGCCCCAAAGCATGATGTTGCCACCCCCATGCTTCACAGTAGGTATGGTGTTCTTTGGATGCAACTCAGCATTCTCTCTCCTCCAAACACGACGAGTTGTGTTTCTACAAAACAGTTGTATTTTGGTTTCATCTGACCATATGACATTCTCCCAATCCTCTTCTGGATCATCCAAATGCTCTCTAGCAAACTTCAGACGGGCCCCGGACATGTACTGGCTTAAGCAGGGGGACACGTCTGGCACTGCAGGATCTGAGTCCCTGGCGGCGTAGTGTGTTACTGATGGTAGCCTTTGTCACGTTGGTCCCAGCTCTCTGCAGGTCATTCACTAGGTCCCCCATGTGGTCCTGGGATTTTTGCTCACCGTTCTTGTGATCATTTTGACCCCACGGGGTGAGATCTTGCGTGGAGCCCCAGATCGAGGGAGATTATCAGTGGTCTTGTATGTCTTCCATTTTCTAATTATTGCTCCCCCGGTTGATTTGTTCACACCAAGCTGCTTGCCTATTGCAGATTCAGTCTTCCCAGCCTGGTGCAGGTCTACAATTTTTGTTTCTGGTGTCCTTCGACAGCTCTTTGGTCTTCACCATAGTGGAGTTTGGAGTGTGACTGTTTGAGGTTGTGGACAGGTGTCTTTTATACTGATAACAAGTTCAAACAGGTGCCATTGATACAGGTAATGAGTGCAGGACAGAGGAGCCTCTTAAAGAAGAAGGTCCAGGTCTGTGAGAGCCAGAAATCTTGCTTGTTTGTAGGTGACCAAATACTTATTTTCCACCATAACTTGCAAATAAATTCTTTCCAGATCAGCCAATGAGATTGTCTGGATTTGTTTTCTCATTTTGTCTCTCATAGTTGAGGTCTCCCTATGATGCCAATTACAGGCCTCTCTCATCTTTGTAAGTGGGAGAACTTGCACAATTGGTGGGGGGACTAAATATTTTTTTGCCCCCCTGTATATACACACTGTCTGTTGAAATGCTTTTTTTTATATATTACAAAATATAGGAAAAATATTTCTAAAAATATATTTTCAAATATACTGTATGTCTTTAAAAAATACATTTAATGTACATTTTTGGAGTGCATGTACAAATATATGTAAATATGTAATATATGTTAAAATTACTTTTGTATGTTAAAAAAAAATCTGAAGAATATATTTAAAAATATATATATATTTTAAAAATTATTCTTCATACAGTTTGTAATATATAAAAAAAACGCATTTCAATATATATATGTAAATATATATGTATGTATATATATATATATATATACACACACACACACTGTCTGTTGAAATGCTTTCTTTATATATCAGAAAATATATGGAAAATATTTCGAAAAATATATCTTCAAATATACAGTATGTCTTTAAAAATACATTTAATCTACATTTTTGGAGCGCCTGTACAAATAGATGTAAAAATGACTTTTTTTTTATATGTTAAAAAAAAAAAACCCGAAGAATATATTTAAATAAATAAAATAACTAAATTAAATAAATATATATTAAATAATAAATTAATTAATATTGTAAAAAATATTTTTCATATATTTTGTAATATATAAAAAACGCATTTCAATATATATATATATTATTTATTTATTTCAGGTACTTATATAGCGCCGTCAATTTACGCAGTGCTCTACATATATATTGTACATTCCCATCAGTCCCCGCCCCCGAGGGGCGTACAATCTAAGGTCCCTAACTCACATTCATACATACACATACTAGGGACAATATAGACAGGAGCCAATTCACCTCCCAGCATGTCTTTGGAGTGTGGGAGGAAACCGGAGTGCCTGGAGGAAACCAACGCAGGCACAGAGAGAACATGCAAACTCCAGGCAGGAGGGGCCGTGGCTGGGATTTGAACTGACGACCGGAGTACTGCCAAGTGGAAGGGCTAAATATGTATATATACTGTATACATGTCTATACACACACAAACACTGTCTGTTGAAATGCTTTTTTATATATTACAAAATATAGGAAAAATATTTCTAAAAATATATTTTCAAATATACCGTATGTCTTTAAAAAATACATTTCATCTACATTTTTGGAACGCATGTACAAATATATGTTAAAATGAAATGACTTTTTATATGTTAAAAAAAATCTGAAGAAGTTATTTAAAAATATATATATTTTAAAAAATATTTTTCATATATTTTGTAATATATAAAAAAAACATTTATATATATATATATATATATATATATATATAAATATACAGTATATGTATAAATATTATGGCCAAAATTGTAGCATTTCAAATCTATGCCAATATATTTGGGAAGAATCATTTTAAAATATATTTAAGATATATTTTTCTTCCATTTGGGACATTCGATGCAAAAGCAGGAAAATGGGGATATTGAGATAGAGTTCCCCTTTAACCAACAAAACCGGTCATCCGGAGAGCTGCGAGTTATTTTCTCCGTGATCTCTAATCCGACACAAACCAGATCAATTAGAAAGAAATACCCGACGCGTTTCGTCTTCGGTCAGTGCTGTAAACACGCCGCTAATTAAAAGCTTTGGGAGCGAAAACGGTAAACAGAGGCAAATTATAATCCGAGAATAAAAGTTGGATGTGCATTTATCTCCCGCTCAACGATCTTCTCACCTTCGCCGATGGATGACTGCCCCTCCCCCCATGGACGTCATTAAGTGCCGGCCGCCGAGTATTAATATCAGCAGGCAATGCCATCCAATGCAACCTTCACTACAGATATTCTGTATAGACGCACAGATATTGTATATAGACGCACAGAGCCGGTACACCCGTGCAGGACTGAAGGGGAGGAGCCGGTACACCCGTGCAGGACTGAAGGGGAGGAGCCGGTACATCTGTGCAGGACTGAAGGGGAGGAGCCAGTACACCTGTGCAAGACTGGAGGGGAGGAGCCGGTATACCTGTGCAAGACTGAAGAGGAGGAGCCGGTACACCTGTGCAAGACTGGAGGGGAGGAGCTGGTACACCTGTGCAAGACTGAAGGGGAGGTGCCGGTACACCTGTGCAGGATTAATGGGGAGGAGACAGCACTCCTGTACAGGACTGAAGGGGAGGAGCCGGTACACCTGGGCAAGACTGAAGGGGAGGAGCCGGTACACCTGTGCAAGACTGAAGGGGAGGAGCCGATACACCTGTGCAAGACTGAAGGGGAGGAGTCGGTACGCCTGTGCAAGACTGAAGGGGAGGAGCCGGTACACTTGTGCAAGACTGAAGGGGAGGAGCCGGTACACCTGTGCAAGACTGAAGGGGAGGAGCCGATACACCTGTGCAGAACTGAAGGGGAGGAGCCAGTACACCTGTGCAAGACTGAAGGGGAGGAGCCGGTACACCTGTGCAAGACTGAAGGGAAGGAGCCGATTCACCTGTGCAGAACTGAAGGGGAGGAGCCGATACACCTGTGCAGAACTGAAGGGGAGGAGCCGATACACCTGTGCAGAACTGAAGGGGAGGAGCCAGTACACCTGTGCAAGACTGAAGGGGAGGAGCTGGTGCACCTGTGCAAGACTGAAGGGGAGGAGCTGGTGCACCTGTGCAAGACTGAAGGGGAGGAGCCGGTACACCTGTGCAAGACTGAAGGGGAGGAGCCGATACACCTGTGCAAGACTGAAGGGGAGGAGCCGATACACCTGTGAAAGGCTGAAGGGGAGGAGCTTATACACCTGTGCAGAACTGAAAGGGAGGAGCCAGTACACCTGTGCAAGACTGAAGGGGAGGAGCTGGTGCACCTGTGCAAGACTGAAGGGGAGGAGCCGATACACCTGTGCAAGACTGAAGGGGAGGAGCCGATACACCTGTGCAAGACTGAAGGGGAGGAGCTGATACACCTGTGCAGAACTGAAGGGGAGGAGCCAGTACACCTGTGCAAGACTGAAGGGGAGGAGCTGATACACCTGTGCAGAACTGAAGGGGAGGAGCCGATACACCTGTGCAAGACTGAAGGGGAGGAGCTGATACACCTGTGCAGAACTGAAGGGGAGGAGCCAGTACACCTGTGCAAGACTGAAGGGGAGGAGCTGATACACCTGTGCAGAACTGAAGGGGAGGAGCCGATACACCTGTGCAAGACTGAAGGGGAGGAGCTGATACACCTGTGCAGAACTGAAGGGGAGGAGCCAGTACACCTGTGCAAGGCTGAAGGGGAGGAGCGGTACACCTGTGCAAGACTGAAGGGGAGGAGCCGGTACACCTGTGCAAGACTGAAGGGGAGGAGCCGGTACACCTGTGCAAGACTGAAGGGGAGGAGCCTGTACACCTGTGTAAGACTGAAAGGTTGGCCGCAGGCCTTTATAGCAGGGCTGGAGCGTGAGGAAAAAGCAGCACGAGGAACCAATCAGTTCCTGTTCTGACATCAATCATGCTGAAAGGAGGAGAGAGCAGAGAGACAGATGGGCTCATCACTGCGCTGCTTCTCAATTCCCTGTCCTGTCACAAGCTAGGGGCGGGTCCATGACAACCTGGACTCAGAGTAAATGGGTTTAATGATGCTGTCCATCCAATCGAGGACATCTAGTGGAAGGCACACAGTACTGCAGGGGAGATCTCTGTACTGAAGGTGAATCTTTTATTTGACCTTTTAATAGGATAATCCTTCTGTATGTTATTTATTCTGGTTGGAGTTCTGCTCTAAACTTCGCATTTTATCCGTCTGGCGCTCGACGTCCCGGAATGACCCCGCCCCCTTCTTCGTATGAAATAGGCCCCTGTTGCTGCAGACGAACAATGCCCGCGGTCTTACCAAATAATCGCCTGGTTATCAGCGTGCTGCGGCGCATCCGCCTTCAGCGCTTTCCATCGCATATTCCTGGGGTCAAGAAAGACGCAACGCGGCAGAATTCAATAGGGAGCAATTTTCCGGCGACCTAAATTGAGGAACATTTTTTACAACGGCGGATAATCGCGCTGCGGACGACGTCTCGGCGGTGAGTCACCCAAATCGTCGGCGTGATGAAGGCTTCAGAGATCAGAAGAAATCTACTTGTAATGTGTGAACTCATCTACCCTGAAGAACGCAAAACGCTCCGCGTGAATCCAACGTACAAGGCCGAGCGCAACAATCGATCACTTTATGTACGGGAGGATTAGCGACCAATCGCCGGACGAGGCAATTTTTTAATTTTTCAGCATTTTTTTTTTTTTTGCTAGAAAATGACTCCAACCACCAAACAGGATATATTTCTCTGAAAGCAGAGGCCCTGGGGAAAAAAATGCACCCCTTCCCTCCCCGCCCACCGGGCACTCTCACCCCCTCGCCACCCACCAGGCACTCTCACCCCCTCCCCGTCCACCGGGCACTCTCACCTCCTTCCCGCCCGGGCACTCTCACCCCCCCCTCGCCACCCACCAGGCACTCTCACCCCCTCCCCGTCCACCGGGCACTCTCACCTCCTTCCCGCCCACCGGGCACTATCACCCCCTCGCCCCCACCAGGCACTCTCACCCCCCCTCCCCTTCCACCGGGCACTCTCACCTCCTTCCCGCCCACCGGGCACTCTCACCCCCTCGCCACCCACCAGGCACTCTCACCCCCTCCCCGTCCACCGGGCACTCTCACCTCCTTCCCGCCCCCGGGCCCTCTCACCCCCTCGCCACCCACCAGGCACTCTCACCCCCCCTCCCCGTCCACCGGGCACTCTCACCTCCTTCCCGCCCACCGGGCACTCTCACCCCCTCGCCACCCACCAGGCACTCTCACCCCCTCCCCGTCCACCGGGCACTCTCACCTCCTCCCCGTCCACCGGGCACTCTCACCTCCTTCCCGCCCACCGGGCACTCTCACCTCCTTCCTGCCGACCGGGCACTCTCACCTCCTTCCTGCCCACCGGGCACTCTCACCCACTTCCTGCCCACTGGGCACTCTCGCCTCCTTCCTGCCCACCGGGCACTCTCACCTCCTTCCTGCCCACCGGGCACTCTCACCCACTTCCTGCCGACCGGGCACTCTCACCTCCTTCCTGCCCACCGGGCACTCTCACCTCCTTCCCCCCCACCGGGCACTCTCACCCACTTCCTGCCCACTGGGAACTCTCACCTCCTTCCTGCCCACTGGGCACTCTCTCACCCCCTTCCTGCCTACCGGGCACTCTCACCGCCCACTGTTCACTCTCACCCCCTACCTTTCCATTGGACGCTCTCACCCCCTGCCTTCCCACCGGGCACTCTCACCCCCTCCCCCGCCCACCCGGCACTCTCACCTCTTTCTTGCCCACCAGGCACTCCCCCCTCTTCCTGCCCACCAGGCACTCTCACCCCCTTCCCGCCCACCGGCACTCTCACCCCCTGCCTTCCCAATGGGCACTTTCACCCCCTCCCCACCCACGGGCACACTCTCACCCCATGCCTTCCTACCGGAAATTCTCACCCCCTCCCTGCCCACCGGGCACTCTCACCCCCTCCCCGCCCACCGGGCACTCTCACCCCCCCTTTCTGCTCACCAGGCACTCTCACCTCCTTCCCCACCCCACCAGGCACTCTCACCCCCTCCCCACCCACTGTTCACTCTCACCCCCTGCCTTCCCATTGGACACTCTTACACCCTGCCTTCCCACCGGGCACTCTCACCCCCTCCCCGCCCACTCGGCACTCTCACCTCTTTCCAGCCCACCAAGCACTCCCACCCCCCTTCCCCCCACCGGGCACTCTCACCCCCTTCCTGCCCAGGCTGATTTTCAGCTTTCAGCGCTGTCGCACTTTGAAGGACAATGGCGCGGTCATGCAACACTGTGCACAAACGAAATGTACAGCTTTTTGGTTTTTTTACACAGATAGAGCTTTCTTTTGGTGGGATTTAATCACCATGGGGGGGCGGGGGTTGTTTTTTTTTTTTGCTAAACAATCTAAAAAAAAGACCAAACATTTAAAAAAAATCTTTGTTTTTCTTTGTTTCTGTTAAAAATGTTTGCAAATAAGTAATTTTTCTCCTTCACCGATGTGCGCTAATGAGGCTGCACTAATGGGCACTGATGAGGTTGCACTGATGGGCACTGATGAGGCTGCACTAATGAGCACTGATGAGGCTGCACTGATGGGCACTGATGAGGCTGCACTGATGGGCACTGGTGAAGCTGCACTGATGGTTGCTGGTGAGACTGCACCTATTGGCACTAATGAGGCTGCACTGATCTGCACTGGTGAGGCTGCACTGATGGGCATTGGTGAGACTGTACTGATGGGTACTGGTGAGGCTGCACTGATGTGCATGAGTGAGGCTGCACTGATGGGCACTGGTAAGCTGCATTGATGGGCACTGATAGGCAGATTTGATGGGCACTAATGTGGCTGTACTGATGGGCACTGATAGGCAGCACTGATTGGCACTAATGAGGCTGCACTGATGGGTACTGATAAAGCTACACTGATGGGCACTAGTGGGGCTGCTCTGATGGGCACTGATAGGCAGAACTGATGGGCACTAATGAGGCTGCACTGATGGGCACTAATGAGGCTGCACTGATGGGCACTAATGAAGCTGCACTGATGGGTACTGGTGAGGCTGCACTGATGGGCACTAATGAGGCTGCATTGATGGGCACCGATAGGCAGCACTGATAATCAGAGCACAGAGCCATTACTGAAATTTAAAGGCCCTTCACTTCGCATCGCCATCTACTTTTACCGTGAGTTCTGATTCAACTGCTCACTATGGACTATTGAACTGTGCGCTGTGCCCCCTGCCGTACGCCGTACACCCCCTGTGTAACCCCGTACACCCCCCGCCGTAAACCCCCTGAAGTATGCCGTACACCCCCTGCGTAACCCCGTACACCCCCTGCGTAACCCCGTACACTCCCCCCGCCGTATGCCCCCTGCAGTATGCCGTACACCCCCTGCTGTACACCCCCTGCAGTACACCCCCTGCAGTATGCCGTACACCCCCTGCAGTACACCGTACACCCCCTGCAGTATGTCGTACACCCCCTGCCGTACACCCCCTGCAGTACACCCCCTGCAGTATGCCGTACACCCCCTGCAGTACACCCCCTGCAGTATGCCGTACACCCCCTGCAGTACACCCCCTGCAGTATGCCGTACACCCCCTGCAGTACACCCCCTGCAGTATGCCGTACACCCCCTGCAGTACACCGTACACCCCCTGCTGTACACCCCCTGCACTATGCCGTACACCCCCTGCAGTACACCGTACACCCCCTGCTGTACACCCCCTGCACTACGCCGTACACCCCCTGCTGTACACCCCCTGCAGTACACCCCCTGCAGTACACCCCCTGCAGTATGCCGTACACCCCCTGCAGTACACCGTACACCCCCTGCTGTACACCCCCTGCAGTACACCCCCTGCACTACGCCGTACACCGCAGATATAAAAGACATTCAAACATTCTAATCCTCAGTACGATCCACGGCCGTCATTCTATTCAGCGCATATAAAGGGCTCCATGACGCTGTGGAGGTTGGATCCATTTCCTGAGCGCTTGAGCTGAATAGTTACTAAGATGGTTTATTGACCTTCAGAATCTAATGCTTCCACCTCCCAGCATGTCGGGTACGCGGGTTGTCTCTCCTCCATTACTATGAACATTTCAGCTACAAATAAGGATCCATGATAAAGGCGCCAGAGAAATCCTGTATAATAATATTAATAAAGACATCAAATGTTTGATGAAATGATATTTCTGTGCTATGAACTTTGCATACATTTGCCGTATACAAAGAGACCAGCATTTCTCAACCTTTCCAGCACGGAGGAACCCTTGAAATAACTAACTCAGGGAACCCCTCATAATAATTGCTGTGTCTGCAGCTCATGATACATTAGTGTGATGGTCAGGGGGAGGAATGTCCCTTACATTGGGGGTCAGTGGGAAGAATGTCCCTTACATTGGGGGTCAGTGGGAGGAATGTCCCTTACATTGGGGGTCAGTGGGAAGAATGCCCCTTACATTGGTGATCAGTGGGAAGAATGTCCCTTACATTGGGGGTCAGTGGGAAGAATGTCCCTTACATTGGGGGTCAGTGGGAAGAATGTCCCTTACATTGGTGGGTCAGTGGGAAGAATGTCCCGTACATTGGTGGTCAGTGGGAAGAATGTACCTTACATTGGTGGTCAGTGGGAAGAATGTTCCTTACATTGGTGATCAGTGGGAGGAATGTCCCTTACATTGGGGGTCAGTGGGAAGAATGTCCCTTACATTGGTGATCAGTGGGAAGAATGTCCCTTACATTGGTGATCAGTGGGAGGAATGTCCCTTACATTGGGGGTCAGTGAGAAGAATGTCCCTTACATTGGTGGTCAGTGGGAAGAATGTCCCTTACATTGGGGGTCAGTGGGAAGAATGTCCCTTACATTGGTGGTCAGTGGGAAGAATGTCCCTCACATTGGGGGTCAGTGGGAAGAATGTCCCTTACATTGGTGGTCAGTGGGAAGAAATGTCCCTTACATTGGTGGTCAGTGGGAAGAATGTCCCTTACATTGGGGGTCAGTGGGAAGAATGTCCCTTACATTGGGGATCAGTGGGAAGAATGTCCCTTACATTGGTGATCAGTGGGAAGAATGTCCCTTACATTGGGGGTCAGTGGGAAGAATGTCCCTTACATTGGAGATCAGTGGGAAGAATGTCCCTTACATTGGTGTCAGTGGGAAGAATGTCCCTTACATTGGTGGTCAGTGGGAAGAATGTCCCTTACATTGGGGGTCAGTGGGAAGAATGTCCCTTACATTGGGATCAGTGGGAAGAATGTCCCTTACATTGGGGATCAGTGGGAAGAATGTCCCTTACATTGGAGGTCAGTGAGAAGAATGTCCCTTACATTGGTGATCAGTGGGAAGAATGTCCCTTACATTGGGGGTCAGTGGGAAGAATGTCCCTTACATTGGAGGTCAGTGGGAAGAATGTCCCTTACATTGGTGGTCAGAGGGAAGAATGTCCCTTACATTGGAGGTCAGTGGGAAGAATGTCCCTTACATTGGGGGTCAGTGGGAAGAATGTCCCTTACATTGGGGGTCAGTGGGAACAATGTCCCTTACATTGGAGGTCAGTGGGAAGAATGTCCCTTACATTGGTGGTCAGAGGGAAGAATGTCCCTTACATTGGAGGTCAGTGGGAAGAATGTCCCTTACATTGGGGGTCAGTGGGAAGAATGTCCCTTACACTGGTGGTCAGTGGGAAGAATGTCCCTTACATTGGTGATCAGTGGGAAGAATGTCCCTTACATTGGTGATCAGTGAGAAGAATGTCCCTTACATTGGGGGTCAGTGGGAAGAATGTCCCTTACATTGGGGGGTCAGTGAGAAGAATGTCCCTTACATTGGGGGTCAGTGGGAAGAATGTCCCTTACATTGGTGGTCAAGTGGAAGAATGTCCCTTACATTGGTGGTCAGTGGGAAGAATGTCCCTTACATTGGGGGTCAGTGGGAAGAATGTTCCTTACATTGGTGGTCAGTGGGAAGAATGTCCCTTACATTGGGGTCAGTGGGAAGAGAATGTCCCTTACATTGGTGGTCAGTGGGAAGAATGTCCCTTACATTGGTGGTCAGTGGGAAGAATGTCCCTTACATTGGTGGTCAGTGGAAGAATGTCCCTTACATTGGGGTCAGTGGGAAGAATGTCCCTTACATTGGGGTCAGTGGGAAGAATGTCCCTTACATTGGTGGTCAGTGGGAAGAATGTCCCTTACATTGGTGGTCAGTGGGAAGAATGTCCCTTACATTGGGGGTCAGTGGGAAGAATGTCCCTTACATTGGGGGTCAGTGGGAAGAATGTCCCTTACATTGGTGGTCAGTGGGAAGAATGTCCCTTACATTGGTGGTCAGTGGGAAGAATGTCCCTTACATTGGTGGTCAGTGGGAAGAATGTCCCTTACATTGGGGGTCAGTGGGAAGAATGTCCCTTACATTGGTGGGTCAGTGGGAAGAATGTCCCTTACATTGGGGGTCAGTGGGAAGAATGTCCCTTACATTGGTGGTCAGTGGGAAGAATGTCCTTACATTGGTGTGTCAGTGGGAAGAATGTCCCTTACATTGGGGGTCAGTGGGAAGAATGTCCCTTACATTGGTGGTCAGTGGGAAGAATGTCCCTTACATTGGGGGTCAGTGGGAAGAATGTCCCTTACATTGGTGGTCAGTGGGAAGAATGTCCCTTACATTGGTGGTCAGTGGGAAGAATGTCCCTTACATTGGGGTGTCAGTGGGAAGAATGTCCCTTACATTGGTGATCAGTGGGAAGAATGTCCCTTACATTGGTGGTCAGTGGGAAGAATGCCCCTTACATTGGGGGTCAGTGGGAAGAATGTCCCTTACATTGGGGGTCAGTGGGAAGAATGTCCCTTACATTGGGGGTCAGTGGGAAGAATGTCCCTTACATTGGTGATCAGTGTGGGAAGAATGTCCCTTACATTGGGGGTCAGTGGGAAGAATGTCCCTTACATTGGGGGTCAGTGGGAAGAATGTCCCTTACATTGGGGGTCAGTGGGAAGAATGTCCCTTACATTGGTGGTCAGTGGGAAGAATGTCCCTTACATTGGGGGGTCAGTGGGAAGAATGTCCCTTACATTGGGGGTCAGTGGGAAGAATGTCCCTTACATTGGGGGTCAGTGGGAAGAATGTCCCTTACATTGGGGGTCAGTGGGAAGAATGTCCCTTACATTGGGGGTCAGTGGGAAGAATGTCCCTTACATTGGGGGTCAGTGGGAAGAATGTCCCTTACATTGGGGGTCGGGGTCAGTGGGAAGAATGTCCCTTACATTGGTGGTCAGTGGGAAGAATGTCCCTTACATTGGGGGTCAGTGGGAAGAATGTCCCTTACATTGGAGGTCAGTGGGAAGAATGTCCCTTACATTGGGGTCAGTGGGAAGAATGTCCCTTACATTGGGGTCAGTGGGAAGAATGTCCCTTACATTGGGGGTCAGTGGGAAGAATGTCCCTTACATTGGGGGTCAGTGGGAAGAATGTCCCTTACATTGGGGGTCAGTGGGAAGAATGTCCCTTACATTGGTGGTCAGTGGGAAGAATGTCCCTTACATTGGTGATCAGTGGGAAGAATGTCCCTTACATTGGGGGTCAGTGGGAAGAATGTCCCTTACATTGGTGATCAGTGGGAAGAATGTCCCTTACATTGGGGGTCAGTGGGAAGAATGTCCCTTACATTGGGGGTCAGTGGGAAGAATGTCCCTTACATTGGGGGTCAGTGGGGAAGAATGTCCCTTACATTGGGGATCAGTGGGAAGAATGTCCCTTACATTGGGGTCAGTGGGAAGAATGTCCCTTACATTGGTGGTCAGTGGGAAGAATGTCCCTTACATTGGGGGTCAGTGGGAAGAATGTCCCTTACATTGGGGGTCAGTGGGAAGAATGTCCCTTACATTGGGGGTCAGTGGGAAGAATGTCCCTTACATTGGGGATCAGTGGGAAGAATGTCCCTTACATTGGGGATCAGAGGGAAGAATGTCCCTTACATTGGGGGTCAGTGGGAAGAATGTCCCTTACATTGGGGGGGATCAGAGGGAAGAATGTCCCTTACATTGGGGGTCAGTGGGAAAGAATGTCCCTTACATTGGGGGTCAGTGGGAAGAATGTCCCTTACATTGGGGGTCAGTGGGAAGAATGTCCCTTACATTGGGATCAGTGGGAAGAATGTCCCTTACATTGGGGGTCAGTGGGAAGAATGTCCCTTACATTGGTGATCAGTGGGAAGAATGTCCCTTACATTGGTGGTCAGTGGGAAGAAGGTGCTGATTCCTCCATATAGATCTTTATATCACTAGAGGGGTCACCGGCAGGAGGAAGGAGGTCCTGATTCCTCTATATAGATCCTATCACTAGGGGGTCACCGGCAGGAGGAAGGAGGTCATGATTCCTCTACATAGATCTTTATATCACTAGAGGGATCACCAGCAGAGGAAGGAGGTCCTGATTCCTCTATATAGATCCTATCACTAGAGGGGTCACCGGCAGGAGGAAGGAGGTCCTGATTCCTCTATATAGATCTTTATATCACTAGAGGGGTCACCGGCAGGAGGAAGGAGGTCCTGATTCCTCTATATAGACCTTTCATCACTAGAGGGGTCACTGGCAGGAGGAAGGAGGTCCTGATTCCTCTATATAGATCTTTATATCACTAGAGGGGTCACCGGCAGGAGGAAGGAGGTCCTGATTCCTCTATATAGATCTTTATATCACTAGAGGGGTCACCGGCAGGAGGAAGGAGGTTCGGATTCCTCTATATAGACCTAAAGGGGTCACCGGCAGGTGGAAGGAGGTCCTGATTCCTCTATGTAGATCTTTAGTTAGACCTCATTTAGAATACCGTGTCCAGTTCTGGAGATTTCATCTACAAGAAGATATGGTAAGACAGAACGAGTCCAGTTAAGGAAGACAAGAATGGTGAAAGGTCTGAGGGATAAGGCATATAAAGAGAAACTGCAGAAACTTCATATGTACAGTCTGGAGGAAAGAAGGGAAAGGATGAACATGACTGAAACCTTTAAATACATCAAAGGTGTGAACAAGGTTCAAGGGGGCGAGGCTTTCATTAAAAATCTAAGATCGAGGACATGAGGACATGAAAGGAGGAAAGTTCAAAACTAACCTTAGGAAGTATTATTTTACCAAAAGAGTATCTGGTGCTTGGAACAGAATTCTAACAGGGGTATTCATTAAACACGCTCAGGTCTATACTCAGACAAAAAAAGGTTAAAAAAACGAAACAAAAAAAGAAAATCGCTTCAGATAGCAGAAGAACTAGGACCACCCATGGTTCTACAGTAACTGTCTAGGTTGCCATACCTCTAATCCAGGCCTGGCCCATTCGGTTGTACCTGGACCATTGAAAGTTTTCCAAAACAAACCCTAAAAGGCCTTCTGGACGGAATACAATTAGTATGTGACCGACTTGGGTTGCTCTGCCAGTCTGTTTATGGCTTGAAAGTCCTTCAAAGGACGATTCTGTCTAGGAGCCAGCCTTAAATACGGTAGTGCAGGCATCTGTAAGGGGTTTCTAAACACAAATAACTCACTTCTTTCTTTCTCTCAATTTACAACATTGTTTAGAAGCGGAGAGTTGACGCATAAACAGAACGTTGGAGATTTATCTCGTAGGTTTCGTTTATTGCGTATTATGTTTGTTGCTATGCCACAACAACGTGGGAGGAACCACCCGATCTTCTGAGAGTAATAACTGCAGCACAGAACTAAAAAATGTACGCGTGAGAGCCGATAATGGGAAGACAAAACCAACACTTTCCCCTTAGGAAGTGACACAGAACACTGCAGAGCAGTGAAGATGGAGTCAAGCTATACAAAAAACTGAAAAAGACCCCCCATCTGACACTGTATTTTACAGGCTAACTGGGACAACTGGGAAAAGGCAAATGAGAAGGTCCCGTCAGCAACGGTATTTGAGTCTTCATGAGTAAATCCCTGACATCACGGTATTTAGCCACGGGATCATTTAAAAAACACAAAACAAAACTCAACTTTTTAATATTAAAAAGTCGTCCCTGGAAAAAAAAAAGTCTAATGAGAGTGGCAGGCCAAGACACCAAAGACCAGAAAACTAAGGACACAGGCCAAGGCAAAGACCAGAACTTCTAATAAAGAGCAGAAGGTCAAGGAACTAAGACACCAAAGACCAGGTATAAATAAGAAGTCTAATGATAGTGGCAGGCCAAGGAACTAGGAGACCACAGACCAGAAAGTCTAAGGACAGCGGCAGGCCAAGGAACGAAGACACCAAAGACCAGGTATAAATAAATGATAGTGGCAGGCCAAGGAACTAGTAGACCTAATGACAAGAAAGCCTAAGGGCGGCAGGCCAAGGAACTAAGAGACCAAAGAGCAGGTATAAAAAAAAGAAGTCTAATGATAGTGGAAGGCCAAGGAACTAGTAGACCAAAGACCAGAGAGTCTACAGACAGTGGCAGACCAAGGGCTAAGAGACCAAAGACCGGGTATGAAAAAGAAGTCTAATGAGAGTGGCAGGCAAGGAACTAGTAGACCAAAGACCACTACAGACAGTGGAGACCAAGGGCTAACAGACCAAAGACCGGGTAGAAAAAAAGAAGTCTAATGGACAGTGGCAGGCCAAGGAACTAAGAGACCAAAGACCAGGTATAAAAAAAGAAGTCTAATGATAGTGGAAGGCCAAGGAACTAGTAGACCAAAGACCAGAGAGTCTACAGACAGTGGCAGACCAAGGGCTAACAGACCAAAAGACCGGGTATGAAAAAGAAGTCTAATGAGAGTGGCAGGTCAAGGAAGTAGGAGAACAGAGACCAGGTATAAAAAAAAAAAGTGTCTAATGAGAGTGGCATGTCAAGGAACTAAGACACCAAAGACCAGAAAGTCTAAGGACAGTGTCAGTCCAAGGGGCTAAGAGACCAAAGACCAGGTATAAAAAAAGTCTAATGAGAGCAGCAGGCCAAGGAACGTGGACACCAAAGACTGGAAAGTCTAATGAGAGTGGCAGGCCAAGGAACTGGGAGACCAAAGACCAGAAAGTCTAAGGACAGCGGCAGGCCAAGTAACTAAGCAGAGGGGCCCAGGCAGCTGGGTGAGTCAGATGTGGGCACGTAGAGTGATCGGTATGGCAGGGGGCAATTACTGGATCCGATCCCCTGTATGGTTCTCTCTGTAGCAGCTGAAAGCCGGCTTCTTCTCCTCTCCCTCCCACTGGCTTTCAGCTGTTGCAGAGAGAGCCATACAGGGGATCGGTTCCAGTAATTGCCCCCCCCCACCACACCCATGACCCTCCCCATGAACCCTACATTTCCCCCTGCTGCCCAGGGCCCCGTACATATGTTACATTTACCAGCTTCTTCCTTTCCTGAATGAACACGAGTGATTAGTACCGATCACTTACTGTGTTCATTCATAACGTAGGAGGGGTCCTGATAGGTTGGCTGTATGGGGGCTCTAAGGTTTCTAACAGCAGCCCTGGCGGCAGGCCAAGGAACTATGAGCCCAAAGACCAGAAAGTCTAATGACAGTGGCAGGCCAGAGAACAAAGAGTCAAAAGACCAGAAAGTCTAAGGAAAGTGGCAAGCCAAGGAACGTGGAGACCAAAGACCGGAAAGTCTAATGGGACTGGCAGGCCAATGAACATGAAGACCAAGGACAGGAAAGTCTAATGAAAGTTGCAGGCCAAGGAGCGTGGAGACCAAAGACCGGAAAGTCTAATGGGACTAACAGGCCAAGGACGTGGAGACCAAAGACCAGAAAGTCAAATGAGAGTGGCAGGCCAAGGAACGTGGAGACCAAAGACCAGAAAGTCAAATGAGAGTGGCAGGCCAAGGAGCGTGGAGACCAAAGACGGGAAAGTCTAATGAGAGTGGCAGGCCAAGGAACGTGGAGACCAAAGACGGGAAAGTCTAATGAGAGTGGCAGGCCAAGGAACGTGAAGACCACAAGATGGGAAAGTCTAATGAGAGTGGCAGGCTGAAGAATGAGGAGACCAAAGACTGGAAAGTCTGAGAGTGGCAGGCCAAGGAACGTGAAGACCAAAGATGGGAAAGTCTAATGAGAGTGGCAGGTCAAGGAGCGTGGAGACAAAAGACCGGAAAGTCTAATAAGAGTGGCAGGCCAAGGAACGTGAAGACCACAAGACGGGAAAGTCTAATGAGAGTGGCAGGCCAAGGAACGTGAAGACCACAAGATGGGAAAGTCTAATGAGAGTGGCAGGCTGAAGAACGTGGAGACCAAAGACCGGAAAGTCTGAGAGTGGCAGGCCAAGGAACGTGAAGACCAAAGATGGGAAAGTCTAATGAGAGTGGCAGGTCAAGGAGCGTGGAGACCAAAGACCAGAAAGTCTAATGAGAGTGGCAGGCCAAGGAACGTGGAGACCAAAGAACAGAAAGTCTAATGAGAGTGGAAGGCCAAGGAACGTGAAGGCCAAGGAACGTGAAGACCAAAGACAGGAAAGTCTAATGAGAGTGGAAGGCCAAGGAACGTGAAGACCACAAGACGGGAAAGTCTAATGAGAGTGGCAGGCTAAGGAATGTGGAGACCAAAGACCGAAAAGTCTAATGAGAGTGGCAGGCCAAGGAACATGAAGACCAAAGACCGGAAAGTCTAGTGAGAGTGGCAGGCCGAAGAACGTGGAGACCAAAGACCGGAAAGTCTAAGGAGAGTGGCAGGCCAAGGAACGTGGAGACCCACAAGACGGGAAAGTCTAATGAGGGTGGCAGGCCAAGGAACGTGGAGACCACAAGACGGGAAAGTCTAATGAGGGTGGCAGGCCAAGGAACATGGAGACCAAAGACCGCAAAGTCTAAAGAAAAAAAAAAGTAATGATTCATGGAAAATCGCACTCTGAGGAACACGAGAATAATGAC